TGATATCTGGCGCCATCTAGCGTCATGAATGGGTATAATGTCTAGACCCCGAATATAAGACGACCCCCACTTTTTCAGTCTTTTTTCAATGCAAAAAACACTGTCTTATATTCGGGCCAATACGGTATTATTGGGGTGCATGCACATGAACCCACTTGAGCTTGTGTCCTGAGAAAGCACCGAGCTTACCAGGAGTGTGTTCATTGTGATACTCCAATAAAAAAAAAAAAAAAAAAAAAGTCTTTCCAGAGGCCTCCTCTGAATTCAAAATGTCTGGAACACCTTACTAGTGATGTGCCCAATTCCCTGGTGCAGCTCCTGAGTAGATAAATTACAGGCATTTATTTGCTTGTACTCTTAACATAGTGGGGAGGTAAGTTCTCCCAGTCGCCGTACCGCCTACTCTGCATCAGACCATCACACTTCATCCAGACCTAAGTTGTTGCTTCAGGCTCGTCAATGACTTGCCTGTACCTGTCGGACAGTTTAAAATTTCCAGAATAAAAAACAGGTTCTGTAAGATTCTGTATTGAGCTCACCATCCCCTTTTAACTCAGATGGCCATCTTTTGGTGGTGGTGGCACATAATCACCCCAATCAATCATAGCTAATGTGCCTGGGATTTACTGTCTAACATTTTCAAACAAAAGCAATGGATCCAAGGGATTTTTGAAACGATTCAGTAGGAGCCTACTAATAATTTCCAGCGGACTGACGGCATTGAATTCAGAAACTCGCCGGACTTTGTCAGTACATTTTTCTAAAAATGCACATCAAATGTATCCATTAAGCCAGTTTACCTGAATATTAATTCTTGGATGAAACCAAGGCCAAAACCCGATACTTTAATTTTTAATACTATAACACATCCATTAAAATCACCTTCAGCAGCTGGGTACTTTGCTGCACTCTGCACATTTATGGCCGACAAAGGTGCAGGACGGGTGGCCACTGGCTTGTCAATCACAGGTTGTATGGCAGTTAAGAAAAATCGCTAATGCATAACCTCCACCAGTAAGCACTCAACCAATAATTCTTGGTTTTTTTTCTTCTTCTTTGTTATTATTATTATTATTATTGTTCCTGTCCTTACAGTTAATTATGCATGATCTGTTTGGTGACCAGGTGTGAGGAAGGGAAGTCTCTCCATGGAGAATTGTGTGCTGCAGTGTGAGACCACTGGAGTTGTTGTCCAAACATCGGCCCACCTCACCATGAATAGGTGTGATCTATATGGATCCAAGGTAATTTGTTTCGGATACCGATTGATTCCATATTTTCTGTGTTTTTCTGTTGTTCATCTCTTGTCGAAGCTAGAACATTCCTACTGCTCGACCAATATTAAAGGCATAAAATTGGTTATAAATGACACCTGATGAAATATCTCAAAGCAGTGTTTTTAAATATTTGGGTTTGATGGAACTATCACTTAAGGCAGGGGTCCCCAACCTTTTTTGCCCCACGGACCGGTTTAAGTCAGACAATATTGTCAGGGACCGGCATTTAAGGTGTGGCGGATTAATACAATGAAATAATATGGTATGAGCTGCATGAAAACGGTGGTGTTTTCGAAATATAATAATAAACACAAGGAGCGTCTAATCTGGTCGCAACACTCTTATCGCTATGGTAATGTTTAATGCCTTCAAAATACGATACAACGCAAATTCAAAGTGCATGAAAATGATGACTTACCACAGCACCGAGCTTGATTTTCTGCAACCAGACGGTCCCATCTCGGGGTAATAGGAGACAATGACACCTCAAGTGTGTGGTTTATGTCCAGTCTACTTTGTAATTTTGTTTTAGTCACCGTTGCTGCAGAAACTCCCCACCTCACACAGGCAGGATGTCGGAAATAGCAACAGTGCTATTGTGGCGATCTCAGAGTATTCAGCCAGAACTTTAATCCAGTTGTCTCGAACGTACTTTTAAGGCCGCCGTCATTTGCGATCTCCAAGCAGCTTTTTTACTCATTTTGCGGGCTTCAGCGTTTTGTTTTTGAGCGTTATCGGTCACGTGACCGAGAAGTGTGGCTTGACGTGAGTCAA